CCATATAGGGTTCAGAAAGCCATTTTTGTTTGAGTTTGTGAACTCTGGCTTTCACTAGACGAATTACAGCCTCCTTCCACTTGCGCCGAACAAGTGCGTCATGCTCAGGATCCCAACGCCATTGTTGCTATATAAATTTTTTTATAAAAAATTAAATAAATAATAAAATCAAATTTAATTTTATATGTATTTATAAATATAAAAAACTTACCACAAAACTTAACCACCACGAATCTTTGGTAGGTTGTGGGATCGTACTCCAATTAAGATAAGCACCTTTAAAATTCTGTTTGATGAATTTTGATAAATTGGTGGTTATCTCAACATCAACACCAAACCTAAAAAATATTAATAAATTTTAATTAAATTTTTATATTTAAATAAAATATTTAAAATAACAATATTGAACTTTAAATTACCATTTTGTTCCTGGATTTTTTATCGGATCCAGTTTCGGTAACAAAATTCTTGCAGGATTATCTAATACCTCAGCCACGTTATCAATTGTAACCTGCGTCGGTGGTTGCGGTTGAGATTCGGCCATATCAATTGACGGAGATCTCTGATGTTGAGATCTTTCGCCTGATAACCGTGATCCCCTTCCGAAAGAACGGCTCATCTGTAATTTATTTAAAATTTAAATTATTATAAATATAATAATTTATAATTTAAAAAATTTAAAAAATTTAAAAAAAAATTTACCTTTACCGAAGGCGCTTGAGGAGATTACCGAAGGCGTTTGTTTGTGGGATTGACGCAATTGCGTCACGCAGTATATATACCCACAGGGGTGACGCAATTTCGTCACCAAAAAAGACGCTGTTGGTGACGCTTTTGCGTCACCCGTAACATTTGGTGACGAAATTTCGTCCACCATCGCAGTAATTAACCTCGGTAAAATCACCAGGGTGACGCAATATCGTCACCAAAAAAGACGCTATTAGTGACGCTTTTGCGTCACCCTGGTAAATAGTGACGAACTTGCGTCACCATATCTGCCACGTGTACGACAAGTAACGGCAGAGGTGACGTTTCGCTAATGGGGTGACGAAATTGCGTCACCTATATTCGTGACGAAACTGCGTCACCTGTTATAGTTAGTGACGAAATTGCGTCACTATATTGACCATTTTGGTGACGCAGATGCGTCACAATGTCTATTTTTTTTTATTTAAAGATTTCGTAATTACATAAAATTTAATCACTATCCTCATCGGTTGTTACTTCAACTTCTTCGTCATCTTCAATGTCGTCATTTCTTTCATCGTCAACTAAATTATCGTATTCAACATCCTCTTAATTTGATACAACAAGTTGCTCGTTCTGTGAATACGTAATACGAAATTGTTGACCAATATCATCATCAATGCGTCTTTCTTGAAATGGGATATCGGTTGAACCTTCTTCTTCACGAACAACACCGCGTGGTTGAATTTTAATGACAGCTCTCCAATGATCTCGACGTCGTTTGGACGTTGGATAACTTATATAACATACTTGATCTGCTTGAGAAGATAGGATAAACGGATCGTATTTTGAATACTTGGATAAGTTGATATCAAAACCGCCCGATCCATTTCTTCTCATACCCCTTCCAATGGTCGGATCAAACCAATCACAGTTAAATATAACCATCTTCAAACCAATATAACCGTGGTATTCTAACACCATGATGTCTTGGAGGATACCATAAAAGTCTGGTTCATCAGCCACATCACAACAATTTGCTCCTTTAACACATATCCCATAGTTGGAAGTCTTTCGATCTGAATCATGAGCATAAGTATGGAAAGTGTATCCTCTTGTGAACATAATTGGCCAACATTTCACCATTCTTGATGGACCCCGGATCAAATCTTGTATCCAAATAGGAAAATTCTCCGAAGAATGAGATACCTACATTTAAAAAAAGTTTATTAAATTTGATTTATAATTTATCATAAATTAAACATAAGTATGAGATACCTAAAATAGTAAAATATTAGTAATAACTTACATAATTTTGTAACCATGCCGCAAATGATGATTCTTTGAGATCTATACATTCTTCATCACTCATATCAGGATTAAGTCTCTTTGTCTCCTCGTCAAATACTCTTTCTATTGGTCGAATTTCATCACAATTCAACAACACATATGTGTGAGCATGACGCCATTCTTCGACGGATAACCATCTTTCTTTCGATTTTCCACTCAATCTCCCTGCAATTGTATATAT